GAAAAACTATTACATGGGTGTTCCTGTTGATGCTTTTCCCTGTTAGAAAAAAGTCTGCACTGAACTTAAGACTTCTGGCATACCAAATCTGCAGGACAGTCGAGAATTCATTTCCAGCAAAAAGGGTAACACACCAGCATGCAGAGCATGTTTGAGTTTGCATAAGCACGCTCCAGTACAGGGCACATTCAAGTGCTAATCCCCCAGGAATGCACACCTTGTTCAATATGCCTTTAATAATCTTCCGGGAAAGTTACATGCACAAGCAAGGATATCAAAACCAGTTAATTCTGGGTTTGATCTGAGAAAGCTAATACATTTCCTTGTGATAAGATTTTTTTCTAAATGAGGTTCAGTTTACTATTGATTGTCTCACTCTCTCACTCATTTAGGACAAAGCCTTCAAGCAGCTTTGCATTTTTTAACAAAGTCCACCTCTGCATACCCACACTGACATCTAGAGGCACACGTGCCTGGCCTTGGGGACAGATCACAGCACCACCACTGGCAGGGAATTGTGGCAGCTCCAATCTAGCCACACAGGAGTCATGCTGCCCATGACCAGCTGGGAAGCCTCCCCGTGCCTAGAGTGCTCCTTCTTACCAAACTCGCTGGCACACAGGTGCTCCACAATGGCCTCTGACTTCATCTCATTGTCACAAGGGGGACACACAGTCGTTCCTGGCAAGAGAAAAGAAGTGAAGACAGTTGAGAGGTGGCAAGAAGCCAGCAGAAGTAGCACCGCAGAGACAGACTGCCCATGCTGTCAGACCTGGATCACCCTCGAGCGGGATCCATGCCCATGCACCCTGCCACAAGCTCCCAGCTCCCAGAAGTGTGGGACAACACTGTTGGGTGCAAGGAACCATCCACTGGCTTACAGGGCCATAGGCAGCCTGCTGCCAGCCCCACTCCAATACTGTCAGTGGCCCCAAGGCCAGGCACAGGCAGCTGCTAAGAGCAAAAGGACAGCACTGGCAAAGAAAGGCGTTCTCAGGGCCAGGCACTCAGCTGAGGGAAGATGCTTGCCAAGGAGCATGGCCCATAGCCTGCTGACATTCCCTCCCCACTGCATGCCAAGGCAGGCACACAATGCCGGAACCCCAGCACAGCAGGAGGATGCTGCCCAGAGATGGCTCAAGTGCCAAGGTGCTACCCTGGTGCCAGGCAAAGGGCTTCAGGACTGGGACAGCCCAGTTTAGTTGAGTGCTCCCCTCAGTCCTGGGGACCATGCCACAGACTGCCCAGGCAGTGCTCAGGAAGCCCCTCACTACCCTCACTACTGCCCTGTCCCAGAGCCCCGCTGGTTGGGGGTGGACCAGCAAAGCTCTTGTGGATGCTGCCACCACCAAGAGTGGTCATCCTCTCTTTTGTTTTGAGCCCAGGGCAGCCTCATGGCTCCAGCAGAGCAAAGCCACCTCTGTTTCTCAGCTGCTGGCAGTGGCCGACATCTGCCTCCTGGGAAATGCCAGCCCAGGGGACTTCACTGGGATCTATCCTGAGAGGAAATCTCACTTCACCCAGAGAATAAGAATCTGTTTCCAGGTCTTCATCTGCAGTTGGAGCAGACCACCCAGCAGCACAGATGTAGACTTGAGCTACTGGCAGATGAATTTATTGAGCTGGGAGATGCTGCTTGTTCCTGGTCCAGCAAGACGAAGGGCTCTTCCCACACAAGGGAGTTATTCTCAGGGACAGCTCTGCAGCAAAACATCTGCCAGTCCCTGCATGTAAACAGAGCACTCATGGCCTTCCAGCCCTCAGCCTGGCCAGCAATCCCGCAGCATTGCTGGACTGAAAAAGCAGAGAGGTGTCTCAGAAACGGGTGCAGAGCCAGCACAGCTGGCGAGGGAGGCACAGCCACGACCATAGTGTCGTGTCTCCTCAGCCACACATGCCCCACGGGGATTCAGGCCAGACATTTGTTTTCCATGGCTTGTTCTTTCCCTGTCACCACCGCCAAATCTTTTCTGTGCCAAATGCTAATTCCTGGGGACATGCACCATGACTTTATTAATCACACATGCAGAGCAATCGGCCTTCTGCTTGCTCCTGTGTGCAAGTCACAAGTCAGCCTTCACAGCACCAACAGCCACATCCACAGTCCCACACTCTGTACCTCTGAGAGCTGTCCATCACCTGGGTAACCTCTTCTTCCAGAACCCCAGTATGAAACTGCCACTGTCACCATCTCACTCAGAGTGACACAGGCAGAAGCCAGCCTTTGGAGATATGATGACATCCACAGTCAGCATATTTCTTTCCAGGCTGCACATTTAATGTGCTCATAACAAGGGAGAGAGGGTACTCACAGGAAGGTGGCACAGACCCAGCCCTCCATCTGCTACACAGACAGGAGTTCATCACTGTGCTGGGAACCACTGTCAGGAACAAGCAGGGTACCTGCCATGCCAAGCACTTCAATCTGCCTCAGCAGCTGAAGTGCACATAAGGAGGCTGACCAAGCCTACACCAGCCAGACAAACATAAAAGCCACCGCTGCATCCACTCTATAAGCTATCCAGGCAACCAATTAAAATAGAAGAAAAAAGCAAACAAAAATGGAAAATGAGACTCATTGTTCTCTGGTGCACATTCAGGCTTTGCCCTAGTTATGTTCCAGCAGCCCCTGAACAGGCTGTAATACACCCAAGGTGGCCAAGACCCCTGCCTTGCTGCACTAGGGCCAACAGCCATCCTGTGGGCTGGACCTGGCAGCCCCTGGGTAGCCCCTTCTACAGGCAGAAGCTTCACTTATGCACAAGCTCCCTGCCCTAATCAATAACCTTGATCAGGTTGCTCAGAGTCCCACCAAACCTGACCATGAATGTTTCCAAGGATGGGGCATCCACCATGTTTCTAGATAATCTGTGCCACTGTTTTACAACCCTCACTGCAAAAAACTTCCTCCTTATATCCAGTCTAAATCAATCCATCCTCCAGTCCTGCTTCCTGCAGCCCTTTCACAGCACAACAGGACTACTGGAGACATTGTCCCCTGTCAATGGGAAGAAATATTGTCCTCTGCTGTGGATCACCACATCACACTACATTCAGGAACACAGATGCTGGGGGTCCAGCCAGCTTCTGCACAGCTCTGTGCCCCAGGAAAACTGCTGTTCTGTGGAGTCACAGCTACCCCAAAACTGCAAGCTCTCCCATCCCTCCTGAGGCACTGCAGCAGACATCTCCAGCCCACCTTTGGGGCCCACTGCAGATTGGCTGGGGCCCATCTGCTGTAGCTGACTCCAAGCACAATCTCAGCAGCCTCCAGCTCACTTGTTCCCCGCTGACCATTTTCCAATGCTTGACTGTAGAGCCAGCTTACTCCAGGGGCAAGAGAAGGAATGTGTAATGCTGTATTAATCTGCAACTCCCCTGATGCATCCTGTGGGCCTGCAGGCTTTACTGCCTGTGCTTAAGGAGAAAGGAATTCAGCAGGTCAGCTCTTTGAGAGGCAGAAACAAATTCCAATTTCAAGGTGTTAATGGGGAAAAATACTGAAAGGGTTTGTTCTTATTAGTACCAAGAGAAAAGGGGGAACACTGCTTGGTTCTGACCCTCTTTGAATCAACAGGAAACACCCCTGTGCCCAAAGCAAAGGGACTCCAGGAGTTGGTGCTGACAGAAAACACAGACAAACCATGGGCAGGGTGCACATAGCAGAACCCAGGCAGACAAGTACCCAGGCAGCACAGGGACAAGGACTGAGCTGCAGATCACCATGACTTGACATCTGCAGGAGGTAGCAACACCAGAGCCAAAGTAATGGGTGCCTTATGGGCCACTAATAAAGCCTCTGTGGCATGCAGGACATCCAGTGGTGTTGGTTCACATCACACCAGTGGTTGCAATTAACTTGGAGTTTGCTTTTTTTCACTCCAAACTGTTTGAGGCACAAGAAGAAAGCAGTAATGCCCCACCCCACTGCTGCCATCAAGACAGGTCCAAAAGGTGAAGAGAAAGTCGTTAAACTACTCAGTGGAAAACCTGTCAGATGCTGCTCATTTACAAGACTGTTCCCAGGTCTTGGCTCATTAATGCCTGTAAAATGAATGACCTGCACACAGCTCAGATTATTTCAGACCCTGGAAGGGGCAGCTCAGACCCAGCTGTCCCAGGAGCATGCTTGGCTGCAGGTCCCTGGGGAAATAAAAGCAACCTTTGTACCTGCAACATGGAACATGGCTGCGGTCTTGACCAAGGGTCCAGGTTCACATAAGACATATTAATTTAGAGCATTCCTGGAAAACAACAAGGTTTCTCCAGCAGTCACATGAGGAACGGCAAGCCACGACAAGGAAGCCAGTATGGCTGTGCTGCCATCACCGAGTAGGGAGAGGCTGGTCCATGACAAGGAGATCAGCCAGAGCTCAGCCCCCCAGTTCCCCCCTGGCACTGGAACAAACTTCACATTCTATCTGCCTCTGGATGTCACTGAGCTGTGACACGGGCTCCTGTGTACAGCTCCTCTGGGTACTGAGCTCGGGTGTCCCCCTGTGGCTGCCATCCCACAGTCCCTGTGCCACTGCTGTGCACTGCCCTCCGCACGCCCTGCACAGCTCCTGGAGACATCCCAGTGTCACCCCTCTGCTGCAGGATGCACTCCGCTCCTGCCCTGTATCAGAACGGCTCTCTGAAGTATGAGTCCTTTCAAGATGGGCAGGATGACATTGCACAGTCCTCCTCGGCTGGGTTACTTCTCCCAGTCAAGAACCAATACAGATTTTGTTTGTACAAAAGCTGCAGAGGTACAGGTAACTGCAAAGGGCAGACGAGCTCTGACACAGCACAGAAGCCACGGAAACCATTCAGCCCCGTCCCCGCCCGTGCTTCTCCGGAGCGCCGGCACTATGCTCCCGTGGAATCAGGAGTGACAATTCCCTTTAATGACGGTCTGCTGCCCAAAAAGCACTGCACTCTCTTACAGCCCTCTCGCATCTCTCTCTACAAACATTCCTCCGGTCAGCCTTTCACAGCGCTCCAATAGCAAACACCAGTGACACCAGGATATTTATTTATTTTCAAGTTTCCAGCAACAAGCCAATCTCACTGCAACTTGAACAAGCCAGTCTGCCACCACAGAAACGTGCTGCATGCAATGGAAACAAACACGAACTGCGTTCACTTTCCCTAGTTGTTTTTGGGCAGGTTCCTTGCTCCCTCTCTAGCCCACAGCCCACCCGAAGCCAGGGCTGGATCTCCACTGCACGCCCAGCCACCAGCTGCCCAGCCTCTTGCCCTAGGAGTGCACTGGACGTGGAGGATCCTGCCAAGACTGCTGTCACTGTTGGCTCCAGTCAGCCAGCACTTTCTGCAGTGGAGACCACACACCCTCCTACTGCCCAGAGCAGCCCTGCAGGAGTCTGGCTCCAGAGCAGAACCAGGACAGTGCAGTATCTGAGGACGCAGGGTCACACCTTGGTCCATCAGGGCTGGAGCCCAGCCCCAGCGCAGGAATCAGAACAGGCACAACCCCACCATGTTCCCAACAGCCTGTCCCAAGGCTTCGGGATAGGGATGAGGAGCTGGCAGGGCATCCTACCTTCTTTGCAACAGGAGGGCAGAGAGAGTGCTCAGAGGCTGGAGGAGGGCTGCTGCCAAGAGTTCAGGTGAGCCTCCTCCTGCCACGAGAACCACTTCAGTCCCGTGTGGCCCCTCCTGGGCCAACACCTGCCCTGTCAGCTCAGGGAGGAGTGCCAGGAGCAAGGCTGCAGCACGAGCCATGCCTTACCTTTGGGCCTGGAGACTTCGGTGGCATTGGGAGCTGTCATAGCAATGCAGACGTCATCCTGGGGAAACTGGTCACACTTGAGCATCTCTGGCCAGAAGAAGCCAAAGAACTGCATGACAGGCTCACAGGAGTCACGCACAGCCTCGCAGAGCCAGCGGCAGGGGTAGACCGGGCGATCCAGGCAGACGGGGGCAAAGAGGGAGCAGAGGAAGACCTGGGTACCCATATGGCAATTCTTGTTGAGAAGTGGCACCCAGCTGCTCGCCTGGTGCTTCACCTCGGCCATGGTCTCGTGGTCCAGCAGGTTGGGCAGCACCATCTTGTCGTAGCCCACGCTGTGGCAAAGACGCAGGTCGGCAGGGATGGCCACACACTGGTGGGGTTTGGCGTAAAAGCGCCCTCCGGGGTAAGGGCCCAGGTCTGACTGGTAGCTGACATAGTCGTACTCGCTGGCCACGCCGCAGGCCAGCAGCCCGGCGGCCACCGACACCAAGGCACGCAGGGCGGCCCCGCCGGGCCCCCTCACGCAGCCCATCGCGGCGACCCGCCGACGGTGGCCCCGACAGCACCGCACGCCGCTCCCCGCCGGGCGCCCGCTGCCGGCGGCCGCCCCTGGGGACTCTCCTCGCACCCCCGCCGCTGCCCCCAGCCGCTCCCCTCGCCCGCTGCCCCCAGAGCCCCACAGAGCCCCGCCGCCCGCCCGCCCTCCTCCCGCCGCCCGGCCCCGGCCCCGGCCCCGGCCCGGCCCCGGCCCGGCCCCGCTCTGGCCGCGCTCCGGCCGCGCCGCGGGTTTGTGAGCCCGCGGCAGCCAATCAGCGCCGCGCCGCCCGCCGCGCGCTCGCCCGCCGCTGTCAATCAGCGGCCGCAGGAGCCAATCCCGCCCCGCTCCGCCCCGCCCGGCCCCGCCCCGCCCCGCCCGGCGCGGCCCCGACGGCGCCGCAGCCCGGCTCGGCTCGGCTCGGCTCGGCTCGGCTCGGCTCGGCTCGGCTCGGCTCGGCTCGGCCCGGCCCGGCCCGGCTCGGCTCGGCTCGGCTCGGCTCGGCTCGGCACGGCTCGGCCCGGCTCGGCTCGGCTCGGCTCGGCTCGGCTCGGCTCGGCTCGGTTCCGCTCGGCTCGGCTCGCCTCAGCTCGCCCCGGCTCGGCTCGGCTCGCCCCGGCTCGGCTCGGCTCGGCCTGGCACGGCCCGGCTCTGCGCCACCTGCAGACTGAGAGCCCCCCCAGCCCGGTCCGGCCCGGCCCGAGGCAGCTCGGGGGTACCCAGAGACCCGCCCCGGGCCGCTGGAGGGTGTGAGCTCGCCCCGCAGCACCACCGGGCTGCATCCCCGGTGAGCGGCCCGAAGCCCCCGGAGCCGTTGTCGGTCTCTTAAGCCGGGGCAGCTCTGGGAGGTCCCGGCTCTCCCGAGTGGCTGTTTCAGCCGAGAGTTTGGAAATATTTCTGTGAAGCTGTACTGGACCGTGCAGGATTCATTTCCCAGTTGACAAATTCCAACAGAAACTGTGACACTGGGGAAAAAAAAAAAAAAAAAAAAAAAAAAAGAAAAACAACGACTAAACAAAAAACAGGAGAGAGAAAGGGGGCCTGTTCCATAAAGGGTACCGTGTTCCAGATGCGTATTCCCTATTCCTCCAGCTGCACCAACCCCTCACCACCCTTACCTTGCTGTGCTCCTCAGGGTTTGCAGGGTCTCGCTGCCCTCCAAAGCCGGAGCTGGGTACCTGGAGGCTGTGGGGCTGCCCAGATCCAGCACAGGTCAGCAGTCCCGTAGGGCAGAGCAGGGTGGCCCTTGGTGCAGGCCAGCCAGGAGAACATATCTCGGTCCTTGTGCACAACATCTGAGCAGCTCTGCCTCTGTGTGCCTGGAGTGCACTGAACTCTCTCCTCTGGAATCCTTCAAAGCTCCCTTTCCTGCTGCTGCTTTGCTCTCAAACAACTTGTACTACTTAAAACAGGAACTACACCTCATTGAGAGGTAAAGGGAAGAGGCTCTGCAGCCTGGAAGCCTGAAAGAGCCACTTTCACCTGAAGGTCAGCATAACAGAGCAGCCAGTTAGCACCACTAATGAAGTGAAAAATGTAGCGGTAAACAAGGGACCCAGAGTAAAAGAGGCAGCTGGATGGAGCAGGCCCTCTCCTGCTACTTGGGCTCAGGAAATGATGGCAAAGCACTGATCACTGCTTGTACCAAGAAACAGCTGCAAAATGGACTTCACATTCCTTGAGAAATTCTAACAGTATAAAATCTGCTTTTACCAAAACTAGTTTAGAAACACTGAAACATCTCATTTTGAGAATTTAGAAAATAGTGCTGTGTCCCAGGAAACAAGTGTAATGTGGAACAGGGCACTGATCTGCTGAAAGATTTATTCAGGCATCCTGATTTGCACCCAGATGTTACGTCCGTGGGCACAAGTGTCTGTTTGGGAACCAAACTGTGCCAGTGCCTCTTCATTTTCCATGGCAAGATCATAGGAAAGTCTCAGAACCTCTCTGTTTGCAGAGCAGCAATAGGTGTGTTTGACTTTGGTAGTGGTATGATCCTTGGTGCATGCAATAGGAATATCACAGGCAGGCAGGTGAGGTGAGGTCTTGGGAAACTCCTTGTTCAAAAGTTGGAGAGCTTTCCAAAGGCAACAGCAGTAATTCTGCAGCAAAAACTCTACAGTCAGGGTTCCAGTTATCTTCAGGTCAGCAACTACCACATGGCACCAGGTGAATGTCCCATCAAAGTACCCCAGGGATATGTATCCTGGAGCATCCAACACTGATTATCGGGTTTCACTGCAGCCCTGACACACTGAACAGTAGCTGCTGAGCCTGCCACGGTTCACAGCTCTTGATCCAAGCAGTTCAGCATGCCTTGGCTGCTAAATCTGACCACATGCATGGTCTGGACAGTTCCTGAACTTGGCTCAGGGAAGGTCTTTGCTGGCTCCCTTCTCTCTTCTGTGGCTGACATCCACATTCATGACAACAGCGCCTGAATGGGAAATCACAAGTAAAGTTAAACTGAAATACAATTGACCAGCAAATACAATTTCTGGCAAACCATTTTTTATTTTAAAAGTATAAGAAACCACGGAGGAGGAGGAAAAAAGCTACACCAAATGAAAAATGCCAACTCTAGTCTAGGCCACTAAATTGCTTAATACATGATATAAGACCTCTTAGAAAGCAGCTGCCCAAGAAGGGCTGCTCTTCCAACAAACCTTTTCCAGACTGCACATGAACTTTTCTGAGTGAAGCCTGTGCAGCTATTTTCCTTCATAATTATGTAGCCCACTGCTTCTTAAATCTCTGCCTTGTCTCTAATGTCATAGCCATTTAATGCTGCCTTTCCCACAGGGCCTAACATTTTCTTATTGAATAATGAGACACTTTGCACCACACACCATTCTGGCTGTCCCAAGACCTCTCCTGCCCTGTGAAAAGCCCAGCCCAATTAACCGTGCCTATTTCTGGCTCCATTGTTCATCCCAGCAGCCTGCAGGACCAGGCTCTCTGCCCTCATCTGCAGCTCAGCATCGCTCTGCTCCGTGTCCACCTGCGATGTGTGCTCAGTGGTGACAGGGCAGGTGGCAGGTGCCATGTCCCTGTGCTGCTGGCAGCGGTGTTCTCCCACCTGTCCCATCCTCCCTGCCCACACTGGGCACACTCTGCCCTGGCCACCTGGTGCTGGAATGTGCCTTTCCCTACATGCTGCCCTGGGGAAACAGGCAGGCATGGGATAATAGAATATATTAGCCCTGAGTCCATTCAGGCCCTGGCTCTTTATGAACAAAGCCTGCTAACTGAGCTGATTTTTGCCAAATGACTGGCTTTCGTGCATGAGCAGCAAAGTGGAGCCCCCAGACTCTCATGCAACAAGCACTGTTGCCCAGGGCTCATTGTTTTATGCCTGCACTTGAGGGCATGGAGGAGTCACGGCCTTGCCTGCCCTGGCATTTCTTCTCCAGTTTCCCACCACTGCATTAGCCCCATCTCTGCCCCAGCAGAAGCAGCAGTGATGGGGGAGATAAGACAAACTCAGGGGCAGGGACACGGACCCCCGCAGTCCCTGTCCCAGGGCTCACACTGTCCCTTGGTGCCCCTGCACCCTCTCTGGGGTCAGATGGGCTGCACCAGCAGAGGCAGCCCACCTACCACGTCCCTGCATGGAGAGCCCACCATGCCACTCCTGCAGCAGGACAGCTCCTGGACACCCCCAGGCAATATTTGCTTTAGGTTAAACCCCCCCCTCAGCCCACGGAGAGCTGAGAGCCCCTGGCAGGGTCAGTCCCCGATGAAGATGTTGGTTGTGCCATGTTTGTTTTCTGGTTTTCTCGGCAGATTGCTCCAAGACTCCAGTAACACAGATGCAGCCAGGAACACTCCCTCGCCCCATGATAAGGGAATCTGCACAGGGAGGTTTTGCAGCTGTGGGGACCCAGTCTGATGCCTCAGCCCAGTGCCCCTGGGGCTGCAGGAGACACCTTCACCAAAAGCTGGCCGGCAGCAGGGCCAGGATCAAGGCACGCAGCAATTCCAGCCAATGTCTTCTGTTTGTGTGAAATTAGCGCCAATAAATGCAATAACTATACATAATAACAACAGATTTACTAGCTAACATATAAAGGACTACAAGAGCTAATGCCTTCAGCACTGGTGAAACTCTTGACCGTTTGTCCCTAGTCCCAGGAGAGAACAGATGACAAATGTTTACAGAGGCTTATAAATATTTATCCTGTAATAACTTGCTGCACTACGGCACATTCTTCTCCACAAGGCTCAACTTTGCCCTGGACCAGGTGCAGGCTGCTGAGAGGGTCTGTGGTACATATAAAGTTTGCCTGAATAACATACAGCAAGTGCTGGTGTTCAATAAAACAGCAGCAGCCAAGCTGCACACGTGAAAGACACCACAAGTCATTCCTTACCCAACAAAAAAAAAAAAGTGGCTGGGGACACAGGTGTGCAGGCACGTTGGTGTGGGTGCAAACCCCTCTGGGTTGCCAGA